GCTTGAGGTGCTGGTGAGTGCCACCGATGCGGGGTCCCCTCCCCTCAGCACCAACGTCACCGTCCACCTCCTCGTGGTGGACGAGAACGACAATGCCCCACTGGTGTTGCATCCTGCACAAGACAGCAGCCCGCCATCCAGTGAGCTGGTGCCAGCGTCAGCTGAGGTGGGGGACCTGGTCACCAAAGTGGTGGCCGTTGATGTGGACTCTGGTCAGAACTCGTGGCTTTCCTTCCACCTGCTGAGGGCCACAGATCCCGGGCTGTTTGCTGTGGGTAGCCAAAATGGGGAGGTGCGTCTGAGGAGGCCAGTGACAGAGAGGGATGCCGTGAAGCAGAAGCTCGAGGTGCTGGTGCGTGACAATGGGCGGCCACCTCTGTCGGCCACTGCAGCACTGAATGTACTCCTGCTCAACGGCCTCTCACAGGAACACCTGCCACAGCAGGAGCTGGCTGTGCAGGATGAAGACAGCTCCCTGACAATCTATTTAATCGTTTCACTGGTCTTTGTCTCCCTCCTCTTCCTCACATCTGTCGCCGCCTTTGTTGCTTGCAAGGTGTGCAAGAGAAAGGAGCTGAAAGGAGGACATGTGCTGTATGGCATGGGCAACTTGCAGAGCAGTCTGGCTGATGGGGCTGCTGCTGGGACCCTGCCCCACTGCCTATTGCTACGAGATCAACCTCACCACGGGGTCGGGCAACAGTGAGTTCAAGTTCCTGAAGCCCATCCTCCCCAGCGTGCCACCACAGCACTCTGGCACAGGCAGAGGTGTTGGTGACACAGAGGATTTCCCTCCCATCCAGAACTCCATGGGGGATGCAGCCCTGGACATCTCTAGTACAGCCATCTGTTGGACACTTTAATGGCCTTCCCTTTAACTAGGTCTGAGTCCACGCAGTGAAAGGCTTCATGTCCTTGGAGCTGGAAGGGATCTGGCTAATGATAGTCAGTCTTGTTTCTGGAGATGAAATCTGCATTTGTAATTGACTTCACAAAGGACCCTCTAATACCTAAGTCAGATGTATTGTTTTCTTCACCCCCCCAAAAAAAAATATTATAAATTAAATTTATATATATAAGAGAACTAAGGCCTTTATTCTCAGGCAATGATATATTCCAGGTCTGGTACTGGTGCTTCATGAGCAAGGTTTGATCCTTTGCTCTCTGGCTAAATGCTTGTCATTAGGAAAAATCTTGACAATCACCCTGTCTTATTCTGTGCTGAAACACAATGTTGAGGCTGGGCTGTTGACAGTGCAGTATAACCCGCCTCCCTTTTCTGCAGGGAAGAAAGATGTTAGCCCTGTGTATCACTGCAGTGCAAGTTCTTCTCTCTTTCTTTGCTGAGTCCTGGATCTCTCTGTGTGAGGCATGTCGGCACCATGTGGTTTTGCAGTGTGTGGTCTTCCACCTCAATTGGCATGAACCATGTGTTTTACTGGGTTCTGCCATCTCATCTTCTGCAGGGCACAGCAAATACATGCAGAGCCAGACTTTGCAGTGGTCCATGTGCTTGGGAGTGACTCAGAAGTATAGGAGGACTAACAACTCCAACAGACACTACTTATACATAGCTATGACCCTGATCATTGTGTTTGGGTGGATGGCAAGGCATCTTGATACATTGCCTCAGAGGACATTTGTCTACAAGGCAGAAGAAAGATAGACTTTAAAACAGAATATCCTTTTTTTGTGTCATTGTTTTCATTGTTGCTTGAAGGGGTTCCTCAATGAAAGGGAAGTGCTATCATGGTCTGGTTTTCCAGGTTTTTGTTAGAATGCTTGCATCTTCCTTTTTTTCCCTTTCTCCTTTGTCTGTGTATTTAAGCATTGTCGTACGAATTCCCCTTAAGAAGGACTGACATCCAACATATAACAATGGGTTTTTGGAAAGAAGGTGTTCTGGGACTGGATACATAAACACCCTCATGTTCTGTTGTGCTGCATTATACACTGTACCATTTTTAAGCTGGTATACCCTTGTCTGTAAAAGTGAAATGGAATGAATTCCCAAGTGCCATTCTGGCAATAAAAGGATGCTGTTGTCCTGGGTCACTGTATGTCTGGGTACTTTTTTATTTATTATATATATATTTAATTGTTTCCTTTATTGAGGTATTGTTCTGGAGGAATGTGTCCTCAACCTGGAGATGTGACTGCTAATGCCTGAAGGAAAAGGGTGGGTAGCAAGTGTTTGCTGGAAGGCCTCTTGTGGGTCTTGTGAGTCCTGAGCATATGTGGCTGATCAGCTGGGCCTAGAAGAGTGGTGATCAGTGGCATAAAGTCCTGTTGGATGCCAGGAACTCTTGGTGTACCCCATGGATCAATACAGATTGCATTGTTTACTGTGTATGGGATTTGCTACTTCACTTAGATCCATACACGTCCATGGATTTGGATGGGTTTCATCTCAGGGTGCTCAGAGAGCTGACTGACATCATTGTGGGACTTCTCTCAATTATTTTTCAGTGTTCTTGGGAATCTGGAGAGGTCCCAGTTGACTGGAAGCTGGCAAATGTTTTACCAGTTTTCAAGAAGGGCAAGAAAGAAGACCCTGGAAACTAGAGGCCTGTTAGTGTCATGGCAGCACAGGGTATAATTATGGAGATTACTCTGGGAGCTATTGAATCACACCTGGGGGACAACACAATCATTGGTCCCAGCCAAGATGGCTTCATGAGGGGTAGGTTCTGTTTAACAAATTTGATTTCCTTTTATTATGAGATCACCCATCTAGTCGATGAAGCGAAACCAGCTGCTGTAATCTTTTTGGATTTCAGTAAAGCTTTGACATAGTTTCCCTTAGGATCCTACTGAGCAATATACCCAGCATGCAGCTAGACAAAAACATCATACAATGCATGAATAATTATCTGATGGGTATTGCTCAAAGGTTTACGGTAAATGGGGCTGCACCAGGATAGCAGCCAGTCACCAGTGGGGTCCCCCAAGGTTTCGTTTTAGTGCCAGTTCTCTTCAATGTTTTTAGAAACGATTTGGATGTAGGACTAGAAGGTATTTTGAGCAAATTTGGGCTGTGCATTTGGTTTGTGCTCTTAGTCACATGGTCTGAATTATTTTTAGACCTATGAAGAGCCAGGAGGGTCACTAGATGATCCTTACGGGTTTCTTCCAGCTGGGGATATTCTTTTTATTCTGTGTTGAATATCCTTATAAATAATCTCAATGATGGGACAGAGTGTGCCCTCTGTAAGTCAGCAGGCGCTGTAGAACGGGAATGGGGGTGAGGAGGAGAAGGGTCGGCTACTGCAGAGGGTGTTGCTGTCATCAAAAGGATCTGGAGAACCTGGAGAAATGGGCTGACAGGATCCTCATGGAGTTACACAAGGAAAGGTGCAAAATCCTTCACATGGGGAGGAACAATGACATGTTCCAGAAATGCAGGCTGGTGGAAAAGGCTCTGGGGTCCCAGTGGATACCAAGTTGAACATGTGCCAGCAGCATGCCCTTGCCATAAAGCAGCCTAATGATAGTTGAATCAGCAGAGTCTCTTGAACAGGTCAAGGGAATATCTCGAGCTGTCCAAGGAAAGCCGTATTTCCCTTCTGTTCAGCACTGGTGAGGCCAGACCCTGTCTAGTGTTTTAGAGCTGGAAGGGTTCTGCTCGCAACACTTAACCCTTGTTTTCTGGAGACTAAACCTGCACTTGACACTGGCCTTGCAAATAACCCTCTAAAATTGAGTCAGATATATGTTTTCCTCTACACTTCCAAAATAAATAAATAAGCAGATAAACTGAATGAAAGAAACCAAAGACTGCATCATTCGGGAAATGATATGTTTCACCTCAGTCGAAATCTCTTCTGAAGTGAGTAGAAATTGGCTCTTCAGATTATCTTGTTAAGTTTTTTGTCTTGTTAAATTTTTTGGCTCCATAAATTCTTTGTCCTGCTTGTTGTAATTGGCTTCGCAAATTACCCTCTAATAGGAAATCAGAGGTATGATTTTCTTCACCCCTCAAAGGAAAAATAAGAGATAAAATCAAGAAAGAAAAGTTTCTTTCCTTCAGGCAATTTGTTTCATCTCGGACAATATCTTTTCCGAAGCACCTCATTAGTAGGGTTTGGCTCTTTAAATTGGCTCGTTAAGTACTTTGTTCTTAGGCTCCTTCATTAATTTGTCCTCCTTGTTAGGGAACGCTGTGGACCCCACCCTGTCTTTTCTGGGATATAACACAAGGGTGAGATTGGGCAGACAAAGATCTTTTTCATGGTAATGCCTGGATTCTAAGGTAAATGAACGACAAGTCTTTCCCAAAGAAATGTTAAAAACTGGTCTCACAGTTTTATCCCATTGCTTTCCTTCCCGCTTACTCTAGCTTCTCCATGAGACAAGAGTGCAGTCTGACATGATTATTCGTGGGTTTAGTTCCATGGTGTTTGAAAGCTTTCATTCCCCTTTTTCCCATTCTCTTTTCCTGTATGAGTTGTGTTGGAGCATTGTGTTACCTATTCCCCTGATGAAGGACTGTCACCACAGGCAGAACATGTTTTTGGAACGGTGGTGGTACGGCAGTGAACATTTGGAAAAGCTCACGCTGCTTTGCGCTGCACTCATACGCTGCATCACGGCCACGCAGGACACGCTTTCCTGTAAAGGTGACATGGGAAGAACACCCGAGCGCTATTCCAGCCACAAACAGCCTGCTGCTGTTGGGAGAGTCCTTGTAGCCGTATAGTTTGCAGGCAAGCTGTGTGAGCACGCCGGCGTTTGTGGAAGGCTGCGAGTCGGCGGCCAGGAGCGCGTCCCGTCCCGGAGCAGTCCCGCCGCAGGCCGCAGGGTGGTGCTCGTGGCCAAGGCGGCGGCGAGCGGCGGCGAGCGGGGAGGCGGCCGAGCCCAGCGCAGCGCAGCGCAGCGCAGCCGGGAGGCGGCGGCGAGCGGTCGTCCGCGCCGTCCTCCGCAGCAGCCGCTGCCGGTCCCGGAGTGCCGCGCTGCGGGCCGCCAGCCGAGCTCGGCGAGAGGGAGAGAGGGAGGGCCGCGAGGGAGGGCGCCCGCCCTTGGCGCCGCGCTGCTGCCGGGCGCCGCTTCCCGCGGAGGACTGCGGCAGACGGAGGGTGTCCGCCGCCCCGCCATGGCGTCTGCAAGGCAAGTGCTTTGTCTGTGTGCTTTGCTGTGCGTGCCGCGCGTTCGCTGCGAGCCCATCCGCTACTCCGTAGCCGAGGAGGGGGAGAGCGGCTCCGTGGTGGCCAACGTGGCGGAGGACGCGGGGCTGACGCCGGCGCAGCTGTCGGCTCGCCGGGCACGCATTGCCTCCGCGGACGGCCGGCAGCATTTTCGCTTAGAGCGCGCCACCGGCCGCCTCGTCCTGGCGGAGCGGCTCGATCGCGAGGAGATGTGCGGCCGCTCGCTTACCTGCACGCTCGCCTTCGAGCTCCTGCTGGAAAACCCGCTGCAGTTCTTTCGTGTCGAGGTGGCCGTGGAGGACGTCAACGACCACTCGCCGGTCTTTCCCGAGGAACGAGTCACTTTTAAGATCTTGGAAACCAGCGACCCCGGATTGCGTTTCCCCGTGGAGGCAGCTCAGGACCTGGACGTTGGCAGCAACAGTATCCAGGCTTACACCATCGCTCCTGAGAATGGATATTTTAGTGTCTCTTTCGGGACTCACAGTGACGATGACAAGTTTGTCGACTTGGTGTTAGATCAAACACTAGACAGAGAGGAGCAGCCAGAGCTGCTTTTCAGTCTCATTGCTACAGACGGTGGCTCTCCACCTAGGAGCGGGACCACCCAAATCCACATCGTAGTTCTGGACGTAAATGACAACGCTCCTACCTTCACAAAGAAGTATTACATTGGGCGTGTTTTGGAAAATGCCACAATAGATTCTGTGATTCTCAGCGTTGTTGCAACAGATCCAGACATGGGACTGAATGGTGACATCTCCTATAGGTTCAGCAATGTTCCTGAGGACAGCCAGTCCACATTCACAATTGACAGTATGAGTGGTGAAATTCGAGTTGCAAAACCCCTGGACTTTGAGACCACACAGAAACATGAGTTCAGTGTACGAGCAACTGATGGTGGGGACCTCTCAGCACTCTGCAAGGTGTTGGTGGAGGTGGTGGATGTGAACGACAATGCACCAGAGGTGGTGGTTAGTTCCTTCAGCAGCCCCCTCCCCGAGAACAAGGAGTCTGGGACAGTGGTAGCTGTATTTGCAGTGAGGGACCGAGATTCTGGTGTGAATGGGGAGATCAGCTGTGCCCTTGAAGACCAGCTCTCCTTCTCCCTGAGGCCAGCCTATAAGAATTACTATGAGTTAGTGACAGTGACCACGTTGGATCGGGAGGAGACATCTCAGTACCTTGTGGTCATCACAGCGGCAGACGCAGGATCGCCTCCTCTCACCACTACCCAGACCTTCACCGTGGACATCTCCGATGTCAATGACAATGCCCCTGTCTTCAACCAGACATCGTACACCATGTATGTGCGAGAGAACAATATCCCTGGAGTGCTTGTTGGTGTTGTCAGTGCAGTGGACTCAGACACAGGACCCAATGCCAAGGTGACTTATTCCCTGAGGCCTGTGCACCCCACTGAGCGGGACCCCTGCTCTTGCATCTCCGTGAACTCAGAGAACGGACATGTGTTTGTGCTGAGTCCACTGGACTATGAGCAGGTGAGGCAGCTTGAGGTGCTGGTGAGTGCCACCGATGCGGGGTCCCCTCCCCTCAGCACCAACGTCACTGTCCGCCTCCTCGTGGTGGACGAGAACGACAATGCCCCACTGGTGTTGCATCCTGCACAAGACAGCAGCCCGCCATCCAGTGAGCTGGTGCCAGCGTCGGCTGAGGTGGGGGACCTGGTCACCAAAGTGGTGGCTGTTGATGCGGACTCTGGTCAGAACTCGTGGCTTTCCTTCCACCTGCTGAGGGCCACAGACCCCGGGCTGTTTGCTGTGGGTAGCCAAAATGGGGAGGTGCGTCTGAGGAGGCCAGTGACAGAGAGGGATGCCGTGAAGCAGAAGCTCGAGGTGCTGGTGCGTGACAATGGGCGGCCACCTCTGTCGGCCACTGCAGCACTGAACGTACTCCTGCTCAACGGCCTCTCACAGGAACACCTGCCACAGCAGGAGCTGGCTATGCAGGATGAAGACAGCTCCCTGACAATCTATTTAATTGTTTCACTGGTCTTTGTCTCCCTCCTCTTCCTCACATCTGTCACAGCCTTTGTTGCTTTCAAGGTGTTCAAGAGAAAGGATCTTAAAGGAGGGCACATGCTGTATGGCACGGGCAACTTGCAGAGCAGTCTTGCTGCTGGGGCTGCTGCTGGGACCCTGCCCCACGCCTATTGCTATGAGATCAACCTTACCACGGGGTCGGGCAACAGCGAGTTCAAGTTCCTGAAGCCCATCCTCCCCAGCCTGCCACCACAGCACTCTGGCACAGGCAGGGGTGTTGATGACACAGAGGATTTCCCTCCCATCCCGAACTCCATGGGGGATGCAGCCCTGGACATCTCTGGTACACCATCTGTTGGACACTTTAATGGCCTTCCCTTTAACTAGGTCTGTGTCTTCACAGTGAAAGGCTTCATGCCTTGGAGGTGGAAGGATCTGGCTAAAGATATTCAGTCTTGTTTTCTGGAGATTAAAACTGCATTTGTAATTTTCTTTCACAAGGGACCTCTAACACTAATGAGATGTAGTTTTTCTTCACCCCTCCAAAAATATTAGAAATTAATATAATGTATATATATAATAGAACCGAAGATCTTTTTACTCAGACAAAGATGTATTTCAGGGCTAAATGTTAGTGGCCTCCATGAGTGAAGGTTTGATTCAGGGCTCCCAGGCTAAGTGCTTGTCCATTAGGAAAACATCAACTGTCCACCCTGTCTAGTCTGTGTGATGAAACACAATGTTGAGGTTCTGCAGATGACAGTGCAGTATAGCCCTCCTCCTTCTCTGCAGGGAAGAAAGGTGTTAGGCCTGCGTGTCACTGCAGTGCAAGTGCTACTCTTTCTTTGCTGAGTCCTGGATCTCTCTGTGTGAGGCATGTCAGCACATGTGTTTTTGCACTGTGTGGTCTTCCACCTCAGTTGGCTTGAACCATGTATTTTACTGGGTTCTGACATCTC